ATGTATAATGAATGTTGCTTTTCAAAAGTATCTTTATTTGATTTGTTCAGTTGTTTAAAATACTTCTGTCAGTTAAACAGTAGAGCAAATAATTTTTTTTTTAAGAGTCCATCATAGTTTCTGCAATGGTGTAGTAAACTTCAGTGATGTATGTTTATTGAGTGAAATACGTTGAGAAACCAAAAGAATGGAGATGAATAGGAATTGTAACTTGCCTAGAATAATAAACCAGTGGGAAAAACAGGAGTGTGTAGCAGTGCTTTCCAATAAAAATGTAATATGCGACACATACATAAATGAACGTTTTCTGGTAGCCACATTTACAAAGAAATTAATGATGTATTTTATTTGTTAACCCATTACAGTACAAATATGAGCATTTCAAAATGTAATGTAAAAATCATTGAGATCTTACTCTGTGTTTTTTGGTCTTTAAATTCTAATATATTTTTCACATTTCAGCAAATCCCAATTCTGATGAGTCACATTTCAAGTGCTCAGTAGCGACCTGTGCCTAGTGGCTGTCATGTTCTATATCCTTTTCCTTTCCTGACAGACACACCTGACGTTTCCTTTGTGGTCCCTAAGGGAATATAGAGAGCCCTGGTGGTGCTGTAGGGTAGCCCTGGACGGTTAAAGCATGAGGTTGACAGTTCAAACCCACTAAGCTACTCCATAAGAGGAAGATATGACTGTCTGTTCCCATGACAATTTACAGTCTCAGAAACCTTGTATAGGGTCACTATGAATCAGAATCAACTCAATGGCAGTGGGTAAAAGGAATATAGACAATTGTTAAGAATGGGAATTCCAGAACACTTAATTAGGCTCATAGGGAATCTACATAGACCAAGAGGCAGCCTCTCAAACAGAACAAGAGGATACTGCATGGTTTAAAATTAGGTGTGTGTCAGGGTTGTATCCTTTCACCAAACTTAGTTTTTTGCTGAGCAAATTATCCAAGAAGCTAGACTATGAAGAACAACATGTATCAGGATTAGAGGAAAGCTCATTAACAGCCTGCAATACAGAGGTGACACAACCTTGCTTTCTGAAAAGTGAAGGGGACTTGAAGAACATATTGAAGAAGTTTAAAGACTACAACCTTCATATGGATTATACTTTAACATAAAGAAAGTAAAAATCCTCACAACTGTACCAGTAAACAACATCATTATGATAAACAGAAGAGATAGAAGTTGTCAAAGATTTCATTTTACTTGGATTCACAATCAATGCCCATGGAAGCAACAGTCAAGAAATCAAATGATGTATTGCATTGAGCAAATCTGTTGCAAAAGACTGCTTTAAAATGTTAAAGAACAAAGATGTCACCTTAATGACTAAGGAGGGAACAGTCTCTGGAGAAGGATGTCATGCTGGGTAAGATGGAGGGTCAGAGAAAAAGAGGAAGACCCCCAACGAGATGGATCAGCCAGGTGGCATCATTGATGGCGTCAAGTATGGCATCATTGATGGCGTCAAGCAACCAATGAGGTTGGCCCAGGATTGGACATTGTTTCGTTCTGCTGTGCATGGGGTCGCTATGAGTCGGTTCTGACTCGATGGCACCTGACAACAACAATCCAAGACATGGTATTTTCAGTGACTTTGCATGTATATGAATGAAGAAGACTGTAGAAGAATTGATACATTTGAATTATGTTGTTGATGTGGAATATTTAATATAACTTAGGCTGCTAGAAAAATAAATCTGTCTTGGGAGAAGTATGGCCAGAATGCTTCTTGGAAGTGAGAATGGCAAGATTTCATCTTACATACTTTGGATATGTTGACAGAAAGGACCAATTCCTGGAGAAAGACATTATGCTTGATAAAGTCAAGGTCAGTAAAAAAGACCCTGAATATGATGGATTGACAGAGTGATGTCAAATATAGTAATTATTGTCAGGATGGCAGTAGAGTTTCTTACTGTTGTACATAGGATCACAGTGAGTCAGAACTGAATCAGCAGCATCTAACAACAATGTAGACCAAGAGGCAGTTGTTTGAACAGAAGATGGTAACACTGAAAGGTTTAAAATTAGGAAAGGTGTGAGACAGGGTTGTATTGTCTCACCATACTTATTCAACCTGTATGCTGAGCAAATAATCCGAGAAGCTGGGTTCTATGAAGAAAAATGTGACATCAGGATTGGAGGAAGTCTCATTAACAACCTGCGATATGTAGATGATACAACCTTGCTTGCTAAAAGTGAAGAGGACTTAAAATACTCGATGAAGATCAAAGAGTACAGCCTTCAGTATGGATTGCATGTCAAGGTAAAGAAAACAAAAATCCTCACCACTGGGCCAATAAGCAACATTCTTATCAATGAAGAAAAGATTGAAGTTGTCAAGGACTTCATTCTTCTGGGATCAACTATCAACCCTCATGGAAGCAGCAGTCAAAAAATCAAACAACATATTGCTTTAGGCAAATCTGCTGCACAAGACCTTTTTAAAGTACTGAGGAGCAAAGATGTCAGCTTGAGGACTAAGGTGTGCCTGACCCAAGCCATGGTATTTTCAGTAACCTCATATGCATGTGAAAGCTGGGCAGTGAATAAGGAAGTCCAGAGAAGAATTGATGCTTTTGAGTTATGGTGTTGGAGGAGAATATTGAAAGTGCCATGGCTGCCAAAAGAGCAAACAGATCTATGTTAGAAGAAGTGCAGCCAGAGTGCTCCTTGGCGACCAGGATGACCAAACTTGGTCTCTCAGACTTCAGACATGTTGTCAGGATGGACCAGTCACTGGAGAAGGATATCATGTTTGGTAAGGGGAAAGGTCAGAGAAAAAGAGGAAGACCCCCAGCAAGATTGATTTGCCAAGTGGCAGCATCAGTGGGCTCAAGCGTGGCAACAATTGTGAAGTTTACCCAGGAACGAGTAGTGTTTTGTTCTCTTGTGCATAGGGTTGCTGAGTTGGTACCGACTTGATAGCACGTAACGACAACAGCAAGGGAATATAGGCTAATTCTGTGTATCTAGTGTATGACATGTCATTTTGAGAGTAGCAGCATGAGCTTAGAAATGAAAAGGCCAAAAATATGTTCTAAAGCTTTTATTATGAATTAAGTAGTAGTTTACATTATAGAGATAGGTTACAATCCCCTCCAAGCACCCTGGCTTCATTGTATTTGCCTCTGTTCCTTCTCTCTCTCTCTCTCTCTCTCTCTTTTTTTTAATTCTGATGTACACAAAAACCCTCAGAAATATACAATCGTTTAAACAATTAAGGGCACATTCTGCAAGCCAGCCTCCTGGCCGCCAGCACACAGATTTACTTTTAACAGGAGTCTAGAGTCCTCAGCTGTTCTATCTCTCCATGCCATCACCTCTGCCTCCATCTCTGGTGTCGCTGATTCTCTGGTTAGGGTCACAGGTTCCACTCATGCTCGCCCTAGGGTCCTCTGTTCTTGGAATGCAAGATTAACTACTCCCCACTTTAAAAAATATTTTGCCCCTAAGATTTTATTTCCAGTGTTGGAATCTGCAGTTAAGTGTATTTTGCCCTTAAAGATGGTGGAAAGGCACATGAAAGCTATTCACAGGAAGGCTGAAGGAGTAGAAATGTGTGGGTGAGATGAGATTGGAGCATACATAGTGGGTTTGCTTTTAGTAGTTTGCCCCTATTGGACAGATTTGTCATTCATTACCAAAGTCCTAGTGTGGCACTGTGGACTAATTGTGTCAGACTGCAAAGTCATTTGAACTGCAAGGTCAGTGGTTCAATCTCACCAGCTGCACCTTGCTTGGAAACCCTATACAGGGTCGCTATGGGTCAGAATTGACTCGATGGCACGTAACAACACCACCAAAGTCATGATCATGAAGATCAAGAACTAACTACTGTATTCGCCTTACAAGGAACTTGGATGAGCCAATATGTTTGCCATCTGGTGGTCAGGAAGAGCAAATGCAGTCATTTAACTGATATCCTTATCAGTTGGGGCTTTCCCAGATATTCTCACTCCCACCCCTGCCCTTAACCCTCTTCTATTTTTGGTCTTGTTTTGGAAATGGCAGGTGTACATACTCTAATTCATCGTACATATTTTAATTCATAGTAGTGTTTCTCATGGTAGTCTTGAGTAGATTTGTGTTTAAAAGCTAACAATTCTTTGGAAAGAGAAATAGAATTTCTGTTTTGAAGCAAAAAAGGAATAGTCTCTTCAAGCATTAACAGATAAGTGTGCAGAGGCTGTTCTTTGAATATGAGAAAAATACTATACTTCTTGAATGTGTGGAAATCTTGTAGTTTCTGTGGATTATACCTTTTCCGTGTATGTTTATGCACATGTTGTTGTTGTTGTTGTTACGTGCCGTCGAGTTGGTTCCGACCCATAGCGACCCTGTACAGGGTTTCCGAGGGTGCACATACATCCCCAAAAAGGTAGAATAGTAAGGGTGGCATAATCTGAAACATGTCATTTTTGTTTTAAACTTTTATGTCTAGATGAATAATGAAACATTCAGTGATTGCAGTTCTAATGATGGAGTTCTATATCAGAGAGCAGACATGGTGCCACCTTTTCTACTGTAGAAGTGATAATCATATCTGAAATCCAGTTTAAGGGCATCTCTGTCTTTTCTTAGAGAAAACATAAGAAGAATGAAATGTGTCTAGGACAGTATCTGCCCCAGAGTAGGAGGTGGTTATCAGTATATATGCTTGTTGAATGAAATAAAGAGGAATTGGGGAGAGGGAAAATTTAAAAACCCTTAAATGGAGCTCTGGTAGCGTAGTGGTTACGAATCTGGCTGTGAACCTTAAGGTCAGTGGTTCGAAACTACCAGCCGCCCCGCGGGAGAAAGATGAGGCTTTCTACTCCCGTAAGGATTTACACCCTCGGAAACCCTGTACAGGGTCGCTATGGGTCGGCTCCGACTCGAAGGCACTTAACAACAACAACAATGGGTTTGTAACTAGTGAATTCAACAGGATACTATTGATTTTTGCTATATTTGAGATTTTCTGTTTTGTTTGTTTCTCAGAAAATAAAGCTGTTGGGGTGATGAAGGCGGGCCATGTATTCACGATTGAGCCAATGATTTGTGAAGGTAAGGAAAAAAGATGCTGTAAGATTCTTTAATTGTATTTTATTTTTGGTTATTTATGATCAGATTAGTTTTTGACTTTACTGAGTTTCTTTTTACTTTGTTCACATACTCTTATCTAACTGGAATTTGATTCATGTTATGTAGAGACCTGAAAGTAAGAGTTCATAGGAAAGTAATACCTTGTACATGTTCTTCTGATGCCGGTAGTGCTGAAATATTTAAATTCTCATCCTTCATAAAAATCTTGTCACGGAGTGCACTGTCAAAATCAGTGGGACCTGCTTTGTGAAACCTTCAGCTTTGTTTTCTCCAGCTGTATCTTAACACAGAAGGAGTATCCCACCATTGCTTACTAGTTCTTTGCTGGAATTGGGAGGTGGGACATGGGCATTAGTAGGCCTCAAACCTATATTAAAGGTTATCTCTTCTCCAGAGCCTCTGAGGTAGGTTTGCAGAGGTTGACTGGCTCCCAGAAGAGCATTCATTACTGCTCTGGAGAAGCTGCTGGCAGCCACATTAAATTGTTGTCTCCTTAGGATTCTGGGTCCACATAACAGCAAGTACAATCTTTCTAACCTAAAAATCAGTTCTTGGGTGTAGAGGACAAACTCTAGGGGAGAGACCGTGGACAAGAAAACTGGCTAAGAGACTATTTTGTAACGTTGAGTGAGATGATAGTGGCTTAGACTAGGAAATGGCTTTTTGTTTTCTTAGTATCTTTAGCATCATTTTCTTTTTTTTTTTAAAGTTTTTATTGTGAATTGAGTGAAAGTTTACATGGCAGATCATTAGTTTTACATTCATCAAATCATATACTTTGTTCCATTACAGTGATTATAATTTCCCCCCATGTACCATCAGTTAAGAGTATTTCTCTCTATTCATTTTAGCTCTTTTTTTAAAAAAACACTCAGGCATATATAATAATTTACACCACCAAAGGGCACATTCTGCAAGTCTGCCTCCTGGCTGTCAGCTCTCAGTCCTTCTCTGTCTATGAATCTAGAGTCCTTATCTGGTCCCTCTCTCCATGTCCCCATCTCTGCTTCCATCTCTGGTATTGCTGCTTCTCTGGATAAGGTCCCGCATTCTACTTGTGCTCTTCTCCCTTGATGGTCCTAGGGTCCTCTGTTTCTGGACTGTAAGATTATAACTACTTCCCCGTTTTTGTTACAAAACTTCTACAATTGTGACAATTGCAATTAGTCATGATAACAGTTACTCACTATTGAATCATAAGACTCTTATCCCCATCTCTTTTTACCAGACCCATCTAGACAAGAAGAAAACTATTTAGTGGGAACTCTTATCTTCCCACACACACTTTTAATTAAACTCTCTCTTGAAACCTTGCAAGCTAGTCACTTCGTGCCTTTATCTCTTCCTCATTTTAGGTAGCCAGTGTCTAAGTTGCCTGTCCGTATCTAGCTTGTGTACAGTGGGGATAGCATTGATACTTGATGTGAAGACTCCTTCTCTCTCTGTTGGTATTTAGAATTACTACCTCCATGACTATAGGTCAGGTTCATCAAATTGTAGCAATTTACCCTCATTTCTTAGCATATTTTCCATAGATGTTGTTATGTGCCATCAAGTCGGTTCTGACCTATAGTGACCCTGATTAGGGTTTCTAAGGAGCAGCTGGTGAGCTTGAACCACTAACCTTGCGGTTCAAAGAGACTTTGCAGTCCAGCGCATTAACCCACAGCGCCACACCAGGACTCCTGCCAGATATAACTCTTTATTAGTAGTGGTAGTACCATTACTGCCTTTGCCACAGTAAGGAACTGAAGCCCACCTATCTGTTAGTGGGTCTCATTGGTGAATTCTTTTGGGCCAGCTTTCTATGATGTATCTAAAGTCAGAAAAGTGTAGTGTGTGGCCTTTACTCAAGAAGAAGAGCTCTGAGTTTGGTGAGGGAGAAATATAAGCTAGGTCCCATAACGTAAAGGCTTCATAAATCAAAATTGTAATTTGGCTCAGAGGACTTGGTAGTGTGTGTTCATCAGTGTATTAGTGTCTCTTGGTATGTAATATATAACCCCCAAACTTACTTAGTTAAAATAAAGCAACAATAATTTAATATCATAGTTTCTGTGGTTTGGGAATCCAAGCATGCCTTATTAGCTAGCTGCTTCTTGTTTAGAGCCTTTAATGAAGGCAAGCTGTCTGTCCGACTGTGGTCTCATCTGAAGACTTGCTTGGCCAGGATCCGTTTCCAGGTTCACTTGTGTGGACTTTGTTCCTTTTGGGCTGTTAGACTGAGGGCCTCGGTGTCTCACTGACTGTTGGCCAGAGGCCTTCCTCAGTCCCTCACCTTGTAGACCTCCACAGATGAGCTTTCCTACTGTGGTAGCAAGCCTTCCTCAGAGTGAGTGGTCCCAAGAGAGAGTGAGAGCACATGTGCAAGTGCATGTAGGCACCCCCAAGACAGAGCCCAAGGCTTTTAAAATAACCTAATCCTGAGAGTGACATCCTGTCACTTGTCTACCCTATTCCTTTCATTAAAGGTGAGTCCCTAAATCCAGCCTATACTCCAGGGGAGTAGGACATTATTATACATGCATGGGCTTGAATACCAGGAAGTAGGGATCATTGGGGACATTTTAGAACCTGCTTTGTTAGCCCAGTTCTTTGTTGCCTTTTCTGTTCACTGGAAAGTAATCCTTACCTGGCCAACTCTAGGCTTGCTTTAAAAATGAAATGAGATGATTTATATTAACTTAAAGCCCTTTGTATATTTTAACCCTCCAGAGCCAAAACTTTCACTGTTGTAAAGTTGATTCTGACTCATAGCAACCCTATAAGCCAGAGTAGAACTATCAAATAGGGTTTCCAAGGCTGTACAGAGCACACTGCCACATCTATCTCCCATGGAGCAGCTGGTGGGTTTGAACTGCCAACCTTCTGCTAGCAATTGAGCACCTTAACCATGGTGCCACCAGGCCTTCTTTATATTTTAAAGAATATGCAAATAGGAAGGTACTGTTTCTGTCTTCCTCATGGAATAAAGTTCTGATCATGTGCAACCAGTTACAAAGGTAGCAGTAAGTTTATTAGTGAAAGGAAAGATAGTGAGAGAAAAAGGCTATTTTTGTTACTTATTTATATTTATTAACTGGCACTTGATTGGTGAAACATAATACTAGTATTTCTAGTAGTAAGTAAATAACTCCTGTAGTGTCAGGTCAGATAATCATCAAATTTAACTGACATACCACAGTGTAACTTAATTGAACTAAATCCCAGCCCCAAAATGGACAGTCTTGAATCCCACAGAGGACTTTCCTCAGAATAGTGGTAAATTAACTAAATCCCAGCCCCAAAATGGAATAGTGGCCAAATAGGTTTGACTTGACATTGTTAACGGACCAGTTTTAGTAGGACACAATAAAATCAAAGAAGCATTATGTCTTAAATCCACTGATGCATGGGTCACTACATTGAAAAATACCTGTTTGCTCATATATACGTTTTTGAGAAAGCATGAGTTTACTTCACTAAGCTTCCTCCTTTTCTTTATATCCTAGGATTTAGTATTGGAGAAGTAGTTGCTTCACTGCAGACTTCGTGCTCTGAGATTTTTCTGTGTGAATCAGTGAGACTTTGAAGTATTGTTTCATCTAAAGATAATTGAAGGATACATAGAAATTCTTCACAATCTAATTTGGAAACAAAGTTTCTATAAATATATACCGTCATAGTAGAAGGCTATAGTATCTAGAATATCCTCACTTTTCATTTCTTCTCTGCCTTGATTCTTCTGAAGGTTGTCTTTCTACCTTTCCTGTATTGTTCTGTGCACTTGTGTTTTTTTTCTCTCTCTCCATTGTTGTTGTTGTTAGGTGCCATCGAATCGGTACCAACCTATAGCAACTTGAAGCACAGCAAAACAAAACACTGCCCGATCCTGGGCCAACATCACTATTGTTTCCACACTTGAGTCCATCAATGTTGTCACTTGGCCAATCCATCTTGTTGGGGGTCTTCCTCTTTTTCTCTGACCCTCCACCTTACCAAACATGATATCCTTCTCCAGCCACTGGTCCCTCCTGACAATATGTTTAAAGAATGAGAGACAAAGTTTGGCCATCTTGACCTCTAAAGAGCACTCTGGCTGCTTTTTTTCCCAAAACGCATCTATTGGCTCTTTTGGCAACCCATGGCACTTTCAATATTCTCCTCCAACACAATAACTCAAAGGCATTAATTCTTCTATGGTCTTCCTTATTCACTGACCAGCTTTTGCATGCATATGAGGGTATTGAAAATACCATGGCTTGGGTCAGGTGCACCATAGTCCTCAAGCTGACATCTTTGCTCTTCAGTACTTTAAAAAGGTCTTGTGCAGCAGATTGGCTTAATGCAATACATCATTTGATCTCTTGACTGCTGCTTCTGTGAGTGTTGATAATTGATCCAAGAAGAATGAAGTCCTTGACAACTTCAATCTTTTCTCTGTTGATAAGAATGTTGTTTATTGGTCCAGTGGTGAGGATTTTTGTTTTCTTTACACTGAAGGCTATGCCCTTTGAGCTTCATCAGTAAATGTTTTAAGCCCTCTTCACTTTCAGCAAGCAAGATTGTATCATCTGCATATCACAGGTTGTTAATGAGCCTTCCTCCAATACTGATGCCATGTTTTTCTTCATAGAACCCAGCTTCTCATATTATTTGCTCACCATACAGGTTGAATAAGTATGGTGAAAGAATACAACCCTGTCGCACACCTTTCTCAGTTTTAAAACATTCAGTGTTCCCATGTTCTGTTCGAACAACTGCCATGAGCACAATTAAGTTTACTGGAATACTCGTACTTTGCAATGTTGTCCATAGCTTGTCATAATCCACACAATCAAAAGCCTTTGCATAGTCAGTAAAGCACAGGTAAACATCTTTCTGATATTCTCTGCTTTCAGCTAAGATCCATCGGGCATCAGCAGTGATATCCCTCGTTCCATGCCTCTTCTGAATCCAGCTTGAACCTCTGGAAGTTCTCT